ATTTAATTTTCATCCCAAATTTTTTTCCACAATATTTTTAAATTCAACAAACTTTATTAAAGTTTTATCTTCTCCTTTAGGAATTTCACCCAAGTGCACCTTGAAAAATCATCTATCAACACCATGGTATAACGAAAACCACTGAAGCTTGGTATTCTTAGTCCCAACAAATTGAGATAGACCAATTCAAGCAAAGATGTTTTGCGATTTGGTGATTTTATAAAAGGAAGACAATGTGATTTCCCAAATTGACACCCTTGACAAATAACATCACATATTGTAGAGAAGGCAAGCCATCTACCAATCTATTTTAGGAGACTTTCTGCAACAATTTATAGTCTAAAGAGCGTGCCAAATTGCCACACTTTCAGTCTTGCTTGTTTTCTTTACTATTGCAGAATCGGGTAAAGAAAACGAAAGAACAAAAGAATTTTAACGAGGTTCGACAATGTGCTTACGTCCTCGGTGCCTAGATAGCGCTAGAAGTTTTATTCAATGTCTCATAGGTTTAGGTTACATCTCTATTTATAATAAAAAAACTTGGTATATACTTACATAATTAACCCTGTACCGTACCGCGAGGCCTGTGCCCCCGCACCCCCAACCCACATAATTGCTTCGCTCACTCCATTCCCTATCCTCTTTACTGGTATATTTATGAGCCATACCTAACAAATCTCCACCTTCGCAAATATCCTGCCTCTTGGAAACTTCAATGTGGGTTGGGTTACCTTACTTCTTTAACAACTCGAAACATTCAACAAGTCCAAGCAATGCTTGAACTTGTCTGTCGTAACTAGCTTGGTGAACATATCAGTGGCATTCTCGTCAGTATGTACCTTCTTTATGTGATCCTGTCTAGCACCAACTTTTTGCATGACATACTCACATCATTGAAGATCCATCAAAATCAATCTAAGGGATTTCTTCCTTAATTTATATTATATTTACTCATTTATATACTATATATATATTATTATGAGCATACATTTGCATTTTAAACTATGCTTGAATAATAATATGTTATCATTCACTTGCATATTATATGATTTTCATGCATAACATATGTTTTCACATCTTTACTTAGCTTTATATTATGTTTACATATGTTTTAGATTCATTTATTATGTTTACATATCATTTAGATATCATGGAAGCATGTATTAATTCTGATGTGATCCAATTCAGCATCATATTTACCATGGCTATTCCAACCTCTCCAGGGAAGAAACTTTCTATCTTTATACCTATAGATGCTTATTTCATATGTTATAAGATAGTTATTTTCATATATATATATATATATATATATATATATATATTATACCTATAGTTATTATGATAATAAGTTATCCATTTATATATGAGATACAATTTATTATCATATACTATAGTCACATTTTTATAATATACACATTATATAAGTTTATATACTTAGTTTATTTTCTTATGTTATGCATGTAGGCACATTCGACCAACACTTGGGAGCTGCATTGGAGCTAAATGGAGCATGTAACAGCAAGGAAACTTACATGGGATCGATTAGGAGAGCACAAGGAACAATTGGTGAAAAGTTGTCTGGAGGCCGTGAGCTCATAGCTGGATTGAGCTGAAGATTTGAGCTACAAGATGACCTCATTTCAGTTGGGGAATTGCACCATCATCATCACCACTTAGGACACTTCCAATATGTCTTAAGTCAAATTTTGTGAAATCGTACCTTTTCGCGAATAGTTGCCACCTCAAGAGGTACCTTTTCACAAGGAGATGCCCAAACGTTCACCATGTTACAAGTCATCTAAGGCGAGCTCACCACCAGCTCATTCACACCCAAAGTAGCTCAAACATGAAGGGTTACCTTTCCAAACATAGTGACCTTTCATGAATGATGCTGCCCATGAAGATGCCTTTTCAATAAGGAACATGTGGATGAAGAGATCACACCTATTGGAAGCTTAAATCACCAAGAGATATGAGCTAAAGGATCCATGCCTATTCAGCCACATCACATGCCATGCACATGAGAGCCTTTGGCGCCAAACATGAAGAGACACACCATCATTCGGCCAAGGGAAGAAAATGGCGCCAAGATAAACAAGCATGCCCATTCGGCCAAGGGAGATGTCTTCCCATCCTTAGCCGAATCATTAAGGCTTTTCATGAAGGATTAGTCGAACCATCACAAGCCCAAAGGACTTATTCATTCATCTCAAGCATTATGTATTTTCCTAGAGACATGTATCTAGCCGAAACAACTTGTAACCATTCGGCCAAGCCCTCTCATTTCCTATAAATAGAGTGGCTTACCTTCATTTGTACCCATCTCATTTCTTATATAAAATATACTCTTGTGAGTTATTTCTCTTCAAAGTTATTTGTGAACTTTATCGACTAAACAAGTATAGTTCCTATACTTGTGGCGTCATTCCTTCCATCTTGATTCCTAAATTCCTAGATTGATATCTAGTGGGTTGAAGACACAATCACCACCCCTCAAGCAAGTTTGTGAAGACCGAGATTGTGCTTCATAGCATAGTTTCCTCTTTGGCGAGTTTGAGATACAACATCACCACCATCTTCATTTCATCATCAACATCATCAACATCCTTCATCAAGACCATCATCAATCTCATAATTCCGCGGCCATCTCTATTCTTATTCTTTCATTCCATTACTTATATTATTATTCATTTCTTAAACCCATCATTAATTATATTTCTTTCTTATTATTTTGCAGCCCAAGCTTATTAATTCAAGGACATCAGTACTTGTCAATCCTAGATCGGGACACAATAAGGCTATCTACTCTCTTCCATCAAAGCGTATAGATTCGCCTTACATTACTTCTGAAACAAAACCTCTCCAGATGTAACCAACTCTCTGATCTTATGGAACCTTACATCAATATGTTTAGTTCTAGCACGATACACCTGATTCTTAGCCAAGTGAATAGAATTTTGATTGTCACAAAGCAACTGAACTCCACCTTGCTGAACACCCAACTCATTCACTAAACTAGTAAGCCATAAAGCTTCTTTTGCAGCTTCAGTCGCTTCCATGTATTCAACTTCAGTTGTAGATAGTGCCACAACAAATTGAACAGTAGACTTCCAACAAATAGGCCCTCTACCAAGAGTAAACACATACCCTGTCGTAGATATTCTATTATCCAAGTCACCTGCATAGTCTGAATCCGCATATCCTACAACCAAAGGATTATCCTGCTGACTACCAAAAACAATTCCATGCCATACAATACCCTTTAAGTACCAAAAGATCCACTTGATTGCCTCCCAATGTTGCTTACCAAGTTTAGACATGTACTTACAAACTTGACTAACAACATGAGCTAAATCAGGACGAGTACATACCATTGCATACATTAAGCAGCCAACATCATTAGAATATGAAACCTTTGCCATATCTTCAGCTTCCTTATTTGTCTTAGGGCACTGTTCTGATGAGAGTTTAAAGTGATTCAGCAATGGAGTGCTCACTGGTTTTGCGCTGCTCATCGCAAACCTTTCTAGCATTTTCTCAACATAACCCCGTTGAGATAGCCACAATTTCTGTGAGTCTCTTTCCCTGCAAATTTCCATTCCAAGAATTTTCTTTGCAGTACCTAAATCTTTCATATCAAATTCCTGACTCAATAAAGTTTTCAAACCGAAAACATCATCCATGTTCTTCGCAGCAATTAACATATCATCAACATACAATAACAGAAAAATAAAAGAACCATCATCAGGGCTCTTAACATAGACACAACAATCATACTCATAATGGTTTTAGCCAATCTTGATCATATAATAGTCAAATCGTTTATACCACTGTCTCGGAGACTGTTTCAACCCGTATAAAGATTTCTTCAATCTACAAACTAAATGCTCGTTTCTAGGTTGAGAGAAACCTTCAGGCTGCCGCATGTAGATCTTCTCCTCTAAATCACCATGCAGAAAAGCAGTTTTAACATCCATCTGTTCTAAATGCAAATCCCAACTAGCCACTAATGCAAGTACTGTTCTGATTGAAGTGTTCCTGACCACAGGAGAAAAAATTTCATCATAATTAACTCCTTTCTGTTGTGAAAAACCCTTTGCTACCAAACGAGTCTTGAACTTCTCCCCCTCTTTTTCTGTTACTGCTGGTTTCTTCTTAAACAACCATTTGCAACCAATCGGCTTCTTACCCTCAGGAAGACGAACTAACTCCCATGTACGATTGTGATTCAAAGACTCCATCTCCTCAACCATGGAAGCCATCCACTTGTCGTTTTCCTGACTAGTAACGACATCATGAAAAGTAACCAGATCATCACTTCTAATAGTAAGTGCAAAAGAGACCAAGTCTTCAAAACCCAATTTGTTCGGGGGTTTTATATTCGTCCGTCTCATCCTGTCTCTGGCGAGACTATAATCCTGAAAATCATCCGTAGAAGAACCACCAGAAGTCGGTTGAGAAGTTTCTGGTTTCTCAACTGGAAACTGCTCGAAATCCACCACTGTCGTGTCTTTCTTCTGCTACAACATGGGCTGTTCATCAAAAACAACATCTCTACTGATCACAATTTTCTTCGCAGCTAGATCCCAGAACTTGAATCCTTTGACACCTTTCTTGTAACCCAGAAAAATGCACTCCTTCATTTTTGTATCATGTTTTGATCTCTCATCAACAGGTACATGCACATAAGAGGACAACCAAAAATTCGTAATTGATCAAAACTAACATCATGATCAGTTCATACCTCTTCTGTAACTTTCCCAGCCAATGATTCCCTTGCGATCTGTTGTTAAGATAACACACCATGTTAACACCCTCAACCCAGAAGTTTTTGGGAAGCCTTGCATTCAACCGCAAACATCTGGCTTTTTCATTTAACGACCTGTTCATCCGTTCCGCAACACCATTTTGTTGTGGTGTCTTGCGCATTGTAAAAAGTCTCTTAATCCTGTAGAAACTATGAATCTGTGTAGTCTGTACCATTGTCAGACTGCAAACACTTGATTTTTCGTCCTGTTTTGTTTTCTACCTCAGCTTTCCACAGCTTTAACTTCTCAAAAATGTCAGACTTCTGTTTCAAAAAATACACCCAAACATTTCGTGAAAAATCGTCAATAAAAGTAACATAATACCTAGATCCACCCAAAGACGATGTCATGGAAGGTCCCCATACATTAGAATGCACATAATCAAGAATCCCTTGAGTTGTGTGCTTCGCAGTCTTGAAACAGACTTGAGCCTGTTTACCAAGAACACAATACTTGCAAAAATTGAGCTTACAACTTTTGACACCATGCAACAAATTTCTTTTGTGTAATTATGACATACCACGTTCACTAAGATGAGCAAGACGCATATGCCACAGTTTTGTAGTATCATCACAGGACTCAACAGAATGAACTCCTCCTACAACGGTACTCCCCAACAATCTGTAAATATTCCCTACAGTCATCTTTCCTTTCATCACAGTCAAAGCTCCTTTAACAACCCGAATGGTTTATCTATCCTCATCAGCCTTAGGGATAAAACCATTCTTGTGCAAAGTGCCCAAAGAAATCAAATTCTTCTTCAAATCTGGGATATGTCGAACACCACTCAACGTCCGAACAGAGCCATCATACATATTAATTCTGACATCACCAATACCAACAATATTGCAACATCGATCATCACCCAAATAAACATAACCAGAATTAACCAACTTGTATGTCGAAAACCATTCCCTATTTGGTGTGATGTGATAAGAACATCCAGAATCAAGAATCCAAATATCCGTCAATTGAGTAGTTGAAATAGAGAGCATATCACCCTCACTACAATCAGAGTTTTCATCCTCCACCACATTCACAGACTTGGATGAATCAACACGCTTCTCATCAGTTTGCATTTTCAACTTCAGACAGTCCCACTTCATATGTCCCGCCTCCTTGCACTTGTAACAATGAATTGTCTTCTTATCCCTAGATTTGGATCTGAAATTCCGCTTGCCAGAACCTGCCTTCTCTGGCTTCCATCCACGGTCTCGATAACCCTTGACATATAAGCTATCTGCTTGAGAGATTTCCCCTACATTCTGCTTCCGCTGGTTGTGAGCGAACAAGGCTACAGTAATCTCCTCAACGTTGATAGTCTCTTTCCCATGTGTAAGAGTAGTCACCATGTGTTCGTAAGAGGGAGGTAACGAACACAACATAATCATCGCTCTGTCTTCATCCTCAATTTTCACATCAAGCCGAGCCAAATAAGAAACGATTTGATTGAAGATATTCACGTGTTGTGCCAAATCATGATCGTCCTGCATCTTTAGCCCATACAGCAGCTGCTTTAGATACAATTTTGTCGTTAAGGATTTCAACATAAACTGACTTTATAACTTCCTCCAAATTTCGTTTGGAGATGACAGATACATGACGTGATACATGACCTTGTCCGCCAAGCATAATCGTATGGTTCCTGCCGCTCGCTGTTGCAATACTTCCCAATCTTCCTCCTACATCAACTCCGACTTTGTAGGTCGCAAAGCCTTCAGGATCCCTTGCTGCGCCAATAGATCCTTCACCCTCGTTTTCTATAATCTGAAGTTACCCTGACCATAGAATTTCGCAACTTCGAATTTTGCTCCTGACATCTGATACCAATTGTTGAAGAATCAGGTAAAGAAAATGAAATAACACAAGAATTTTAACGAGGTTCGGCAATGTGCTTACATCCTCGGTGCCTAGATGGCGCTAGAAGTTTTATTCAATGTGCTCACTCTGCTCCATCCCCTGTCCTCTTTACCGGTATATTTATGAGCCATACCTAACATTTACAGACTTCTCCTGCGACCATAACAAATAATGAACCTCTATTCTCACCAAACGTGACAACATTAATATATATATTTTTGTACATTATCAAGAACTTTTACATCTTTAGGTCTAAACAAAACATACTTTCCTGAATTTGTAATTTGAGAAACTAAAATTAAATTTCTTTTCAAACGTAGAGTACGAAAGATGTTGTTCAACTTAACTACACTCTTTTCAGCTGTTCCAATATTCACAACCCCTTTTTATGAATTATCTGTTATAACAATAACTCACTCTCCTTTGTGTTGACATAGATTTGAGAGTAGTTTATTGTTTTCGGTTAAATGAAGAGAGCAACCTGAATCAATGATCCACTCCTCTTTGTAGCTTTCATGGCTCAAAAGAGCTTAGACATGTGCTGATTTTTTGGTACTACCTTCAACATCTTCTATGGTGAAGCATTGCTCCCATTTAAGTTGTTTTTATTCACTTTCACTTGCAACATTTACTTTGGAAATCTTGACTTTACAATTCCTCTTGATGTCCCCAAATTTACCACACCTATAACACTTAATAAAGTTTTTATTTTCTGAGCCATCATCTGTAGTATTTACTACACCAGATCTTCTTTCATTATTTTTATTCCATGTTGAAGTGTTCTTCTTGTAATGCTACCCTTTTGAGTAGATAACAGTATCTGTGGCCAAGCCTTTTTCCATCTATTTTGCCAAGGCCTTCTGATTAAAAAGTAAACTTTTTAACTCCTTAACCAAAGGTTGCTTTTTCCACCCTTGAATAGAGGTAACAAAAGGAATGTATTCCTTATTCAATCCAAGAACAAGAAATCGTCGCAATCTAGCTTCACTGATATTCTCTTATGTATCTAGTTCTGAAATTTATGTACAAATGCTTTTAACTAATAAAAAATACTAAGAAATAAACATACCTTATTGTTTTGATAGTGCCAACTCATTTTCTTGCAATTGCAATCTTTCCGTATTCTTCTTGAAAAAAGTCCTCTCAATGCTCTCCTACACTTCTCTTGGTGAGTCGATGTCCTAGACATAATCAATAAGCTATTTACTAACCAAATTTCTCAAAGCAAAGAGAGCCTTATCAACCTTAATCTTCCATTTTCTGCGTGGTTCAGAATTTCCCAGAGTAACTGGGAATTTCATCATCAGGCCCTATAATCAAATCCCATAAGTCTTGACCTTGAATATATGCCTCCATAGAGACAGAGCCACCTTATTCTTAGGGGACCCACTCCCCCCTCAATTTTAGTTTATTTTGACATTTCCCCTCATTTTCTATGGTTAATTATACTTTGCCCCTCATTTTATATGATTAATTATATTTTGCCCCTTTAAATTAGAATCTTATCTCCGTCCTTGTGCCTCCATGCACATTCTTCAGTACTTGTAGTTTGGTCCTACAAACTTATTGACACCATATTGTGTTCTTAAGTTGCCTCCTCCATTTGTCAGCTTGATCTTTATTCACAACCTTCAATCTATTCCAACAAGAAAACATCACTTGATAAACAATAAGAAAGAAAGTTAATGAAATTTTCACGACGATCTTGATAATGTAACAAAACAAAGAATCAAAAACAAAGAGAATGTTGTAGCAAAATGGAATCAAAGAATAAGAGTATTTGAGAGTTATTTCTGCACTGTAAATTACAAGCTATCTTAACCTTTATATAGGCTTACAATAGCAACTAACAGCTCCTAAAAATCTGTCACCGCATCAAATAAATTCTAAACTTTTATGTTAAGATTTCAAAATCGTAACCACATCTAGATAAAATGGCTTATTTGACTAAGAAAAGTTAAAAATACTAAAAATAGCTTTATTCAAGATGCACTAAAGTTTTAACAAAAATAATGATCCAAATCAAATTATTTTTGAAGTTGTGATAAGATCAACTTAAATAAATAAAATTAAATGATACTATTTTTTATGAACATAAACTTGTGTATTTACACTCGGTTTAGGTTTGAAATTTACTTTCTTCGGATGTTAAGTTGAAAATAATAAACATTTTAAAAAAATGAACTAAATCAAACTAAACAAAAAATTCAGTTTTTATATCATTCAATTTTAGTTTCAATTTCATTTTTAATAGACCCCACAATGTTGTTTGCTTTATCTTTTATTAAAAATCAAACTAAACTAAATACACCCGAATAATTATTTAATATTAATTAAATAAATATGATAAATTATAGAAAATATGATTTGAATTTAATAGAGTATAATGTTAAAGTGAATAAATTCATGAATATAGCAAAATTTTATATTTAATATGTTATTAAAATTTCATCGAAATGACACAATAAGTTAGTCTAATGGGATGAAGTAATATATATCTTAAGTAAGATTTGGAGTTCGGATCCCGATGTTTCTGAATGAAGCAAACTGGATTGTAAGGGTTATCCCTTATCTCTTTAGTACCTAATCTGAATTTGTCGATTAATAGATCTGATATTACAATTTTTTTAATAAAAATGGATTTATTCTTTTAGAATATAATGATAATATTTAACATTTTAACATAAAAATATAAGGAGGTATGGATATATTCTCTAATAAATAATATAAAATTATAATAAAATATGAGATGAATTAAGACATAACATGATCAAGAACGCAAGATTATTCTCTAAATTAATATTCTATGACGAACTTTTTAAGATATAAATATAATTCCAAAGTAAGATATATATAAAGATTCTATGAATATACATGTTCACTAAAGTAGTTGAACTTATACTCTCATATTGTTGCGTGAAATCATGTAGTGATAGTGTTGCACGAACGAATAGACTCTACTAACATGCAAACATAAACATCTAAATGGTGACCTTTACAAATTCAGTAGTACACTACTAATCTAATATTCATCATGAAATTTCTAAACTGAAGCATGGCAGCAGTACAAGTAATGTGCAGTGAGTTTATACATGTTTTACTATCTAAGGGTATATCATGCTTATTAATAGAGAAGTGAAGCGGGTGATGTGAATGTTGCTCTCATCGAGGGAACAAACTTAGGAAAGTTCTAGACACGATAACGAAGCGAATGTCTTTGAATGGGTACTTGAAGCTGGCGGCAAAGATTAGGGTTTTTGGAGGCTTTTAGTTGTTGAAAAAAACCCAAAGAGGTGATATAAAGACAATAAAAACAAGGGTAATAAAAACTATAAATAATTAAAGACAATAATAAAGTATGTAATAAATGAAAGATGTTCTTTTCTCCCTTGTAATAGGCACCCAATATGTATATGGTCTGATCTTGATGGATGGTGGCTTGTTAGAAAGAGGATGGAAACATGAGAAAGATGGTGAAGACGAATTTTAAATCAGATGGTCAGATTGTGAGAAAAACGCAATTGAAAATTTACTCCGGTAGGTATAGGGGTTAATGCAAACCTGATAGGTTATATGGGGTGGCATGATTGATGGATAAGTTGATTATGATGGTGTGTGGACAATGAATATAGATGGATATGTCCTATTAAAAAGGAAAACTCGATAATACGACTTTAACCAGCCCTCATATTCACAATGAAAAGGCAAACCAGAGTATGGGGATCTTTCTCAAGAACTCAGAAGAACTAAAGAAGAAGATGCTTTGAAAGCATAAGACAATCAACTCTTTGCAACATGATCTCTCGTTGTATTGTGTAAAATAGAACAAAAGTTGATGATTTATATAGTGTTTGAGGAGTCCTTGTGGGAACATGAATGATGAATAAAATAACAATAAAATAATATCCTAATCCATTTGATGTGGGAAACATCAATCTGGGCCCTTGAAGGTAGTGCTTGATCCGATGGTGGAGATGTAATCTAGGAATTTGAATGCATGACTTGATCATCAGCTGTTGGATATGATGAACGGTCTAGATCGAGCTTCTAGAAGGTGGAGGCCTGGAGAATAAGATGGGGCTACTAGGGTTTTGTCATTACAAGAAAATTACCCTTATAACCTTAACTTAAACTATTCTCAAGTTGAAAATAAGAAAAATTCGTAATTATTTATAAAATCCCGTATAATCTCGTATAGGGATTTTTGCACGCGTTATCTTTACTAAAATGGTCATATCTTGAGTTCTCGATATCAGATTGATACGATTCAAGAACCTCTAGAAAGATAAGAGACATAAAGTCATATCTCAAAGACATGTGGACCAAATAACATCAGGATCATATTCAAAAAGCAGTTGCAAGTCTGTTGATTTGCTATTCTTCATTTCCAAGGCTTGGTCTTGTGAGTCCATTGGAAGCTCTAGTCCATCTTCCTTTGATGTGATCTTTGTGATGCATGTATCATAATATTTTTTTTTTCAAAAGGATTTAACCTTAAATCTAAAACATCAAAGGGAGAAGCATTAAAATCTTTAAAAGATTCATTCACATTATACTTACCGAGTAGATATGCTTTGCATCTTCGAGACTTTGTTCTTCTAATAGGTTCAAGTATAAACATTAGTCCAAAAAAGTATGTGTTTCCGTTTTTATGGACTCTATTACATGTATCATTTCTCGACTCCTCAAAAGGATTCGCCCATGAATCTGAAAATTCAAGAGATAGAAAATTAGACGTATGGAATGGAAAAAATTGTAAAATACTAACTTGGATCAACGCGATGTGTCTTTATGTGCTTCAGTGGAGGTTTATTCCTTTTTGGAATCGAATTCTTATTGTCGTGAAATCCTCTTTTGAACACAATTCTTGAAATCCAGAGTTTTGGTTGAAAATAAACTTGACACCATCTACTATTGGTTTTCTTCGTGATTGCCTCATATTTTTTGTCCATGGTTTTACTCTAGTTTGGCGATGTCAAGTGGTTCATGAAAGTAGTCCAAGATGTTCCGGGCATGTGGTTCAAGAAATAATAACTCTCATGAGGAGCTTTTTGAACTGCATAACCTGGTCAGTTGAAATGAATACCATCTCGATCTTTTAATAACTTAATAGTTACCAAGCTTTAAGTATTTGAACCTGGTCAAAAGAAAAGGAGTGAATAAGAATATCATCAACATACATAACAATGTACTTACCTGCGGAGTGGTTTAATTCATGTGTCGTCACTGAGATGGTACAATAACTAAGGCTTTACTGGAAGTAGACTTTTTGTATCAAATATAATTCTTTGGTTCCTTTAAGATTGTTTGTTCGATGATGGTATGATAGAACCTTGAATTAGACCAGTTAGGTGTTGTTTCCCTCTTTCCGGTGGAAATTCATCTAGTGAATCACCTGACACTTCTTGAAAATTATGTAAGAGAGAAATAAACACACTAGGCAAATCCTTGTTAATGTTAGAAATCGAAACTATTGATTTCCTAAAGGGAACAAGGACGCAAGACTTTTTGTGAAGGAGGTTCACTCTTAATACTTTTGTTCTCATATATATTTTTTGAGTTACTTTTTATTGTCAAAAATAGGACCACTCACCTCCCGTGGGTCATGTCATTGGCTTTTATGGGTTTGTGACCTCTTTTGTTTCTTTCTCTTTTTCATTATTTGTTCTTTTTCCGTTTTCCCAACCTCCTCACAAAATTTCATTTTATTAATTTCAAGTTCATCTTTTGGTTCCAGTGGTGTAGGAAAAAGTAACTGA